ACTGATGGTTTTTTGAATTATTTTTGCGATTTATTTGTTTACTTAGTGTTTTGGGATCTACGGGAAAGAGTTTTTTTTTCGAGGTTTGTGATTTTAGAAGTCGATTTTTATACTTCTACTCCTAGTTCTATAATTCCTCTTACTAATTAATTAACCAAGAGTCTAACGCCAATAGTATTGACGAATTAGTACTATTTGGAGCTTCTTTTTCTTATCTAACTGAGGAACAAGAACAAATTCACCTTTCTACCCCAGAAACTATTCTCAATGTGAAGCAAGGAAATTTATTCGATAACAACAACAACCAAGTTAAATATATTTCTATATACCCGACTATAGACAATACTCCTATTGTTAATTATTGGGAAGTAGACCAACCCCAAGATAGGACTGAAATTGACCCTTGGAACCCTGCGACAAGCCCACAATTTCGACAAGTGCCACTTCTTGAAAATACTGTATTACAACTTCCTGGAGGTTTTTCTGGCCAACAAACTTGGGATCACAATCAAAGTCGATCTACTTCATCTATAGGCTCCAACCATACTCAAGTCCATACTGTTGATTATACAACTTTATTTGCTAATAATGAGTTTGCAGATGATAACAAATCGGAAACAACCGAATCATCTGAAGAAGAATTATCTATAGCAAAATTATTTAAAGAAATAGAATCCTCTAAAGAAGAATCATCTGAATCAGAATCAAGTAGTAAAGAAGAAGGTATGACTACAAATTTAAATACGACTGTACAAGCTTTGACTTGGTTGCTCAAGCACTTGAACTAGGAGTTAATGGTAAAAAGAATCTTATTAAAATTAAATCTTTTAAAGATGATGGAACCCAAGATCCTATTGACTAGCTTGACAAATTCGAACATGCCATTAAAGCTAATAATTAGAATAAAACTCAACAACTTGCTTTGGCTAAAGCGTACATGAAAGGAATTGCTGAAGAATGGGTTAAAGGATATACTAATGTGACAATGACAGCCTACAATGGCCCTCCAAATACTAGTTTCAAACCTCTCTTCAAAACCAGATTTAGTGATAATAAACAAAAGGCTCTTTGGCAACAAAGTTTCTTTGAGTTAAAACAAGGAACTGATACTATAGATACCTATATCGCAAAATTTAAGAATTTAAAAGATAAAATTATTACACTATCAGAAGCTTTTCTTATCCAACACTTTATTAAAGGATTGCGCCCTGAACTTGCTATGCCTGTACAAGCTGCTAACAGAAATACTCTAGATGGAGTTATTGAAACTGCTAAACAATGAGAAGTAGGAAGATTGGTCGTATCTACTGATACCAACACTACCAAGGCTATTACTCAACTTATTGACCAAATTGCTAAACTTAGCATTAACCTTGCCCAATAACAACAAACTGCCTATACTGTTGAAATAGCAAACAGCCAAAAAGAAAAAGACGTTTGTCATTACTGTGGAAAATATGGTCATTATCAAAAGGACTGCAATGCCAGAAAAGCCAAAGTTAGACAAAATAACAATTTTAGAAGTAACAACAATAGAAACAACAACAGGAACAACAGCTATCGCCGAAACAACAATTACAACAGCAACCGTTACAACAACAAGTAAATTTAACAGAAGATGAATAAACTACCTTGCAATGAATTCTACAAAAATCTTTTAATACTTCGCAACCTGACTTTGATTCTCGAAAAGCAATTGAAAATTTGCATATAAACTTTGAAGGAAAAGTCACTCTTTGTCGTGAATATTTTTTTGCTAAACAAATCTTGGAATTGGATGCTAACCAAGGATTTTGTAACGAGTGTTATGGAGAAATCGAAAAACTAACACTTTCTCGAGAACTAGAAGAAGAAACAATTACTTTTCCAATCTTACCAGAAGGAGAACCAGGACCTTCAAACTACTACAACCAAGTAAAAGATAAAAAAAAAGGAGTAGAAATGGAATACTCATTACTCTCAGAATTACCTTTTTCATTAGAAGAAGAAGAAGAATTATCTTTTTCACTAGAAGAAGAAAAAGATACTCAAGAAAAGAATAAATATACAGACCAAGAAACTCAACTAATTCTTGAACGTTTGGAAGCATGTGTTTATTACTTAGAGGAAACAACTTAGCAACTTCTTTAAGAAACAAATCATATACCACCAACAACAAGCAGATTATTACTTCCGATTATTTTTGTCTCAACAAAATTTTTAAGTAATCCTAGACAAGATGAAAAACTACCTGAAGACTTAGAAGAATTTCCTATAAAAGAAGAAGCTTTGCAACTGGCTTTGCAAAGGAACACTATAAAATCTAAATTTGTATATACTATAGACACCCAGATACTGTATGAGGAATATGCATTGGAAAAGACAGATATGGTTAATGTAGGACTATTAACTAAAGAACAAGAACAGAAGTTTAAAGAATTACTTGAAGAGTTTGCAGATCTTTTTGCAAAGGATATTTCAGAATTAGGATGAACTAACTTAGTTCAGCATAGAATATATACTGAAGATGTACCTCCGATTAAGCAATGACTTTATAATGTACCACATAGTGAACAAGAATTTATCAAAGAAGAAATAGGAAGAATGTTAATTAGCAAAATTGTTCAACCATCTGAAAGCCCAAGCCCCTAGGCATCTCCTGCTGTTCTCGTACACAAGAAGAATGGTAAATTGAGATTCTGTGTTGATTACAGAAAGCTCAATAGTGTTACCAAAAAGGGCGCTTATCCTCTACCACGAATTCAAGAGATGTTGAATACATTATCTGGATCATGTTGGTTTTCTACTCTCGATCTCGCTAGCAGATACTGGCAAGTTTTAATGCATTCTAAAGATAGAGAAAAGACTGTATTCATTATGAAGTATGGTACCTATGAGTTCAATATAATGCCCTTTGGATTTTGTAATGCCCTAGCAACTTTCCAACAACTTATGGATCAAGTATATAAAAGAATAGCATGAAGTTTGTGGTAGTATACTTAGATAATACAAATGTGTTCTCCGAAATATTTGATGATTATTTAAAACATTTAAGAATTGTATTTCAAAGAATTAGAGAAGCAGGATTAAAATTTAATTTGGATAAATGTAATTTTTGAATGAAAGTTTTACCATTTTTAGATTATATTATTAGTGCAGACGAAATTGTACCCGACCTAGCAAAAGTTGAAACAGTAAGGAAGATTCAACCTCCACAAAATGTTACCAAGTTACGATCATTCCTTGGATTAGTTGGATACTACCAACAATTTATTTAAAACTTCTCTGCTATAGCCCAACTATTAAACTATTTATTGCACAAAAATATACTATACAAATGGAAGAAAAACAACAACAAGCCTTTGATAAACTCAAGAAAAAACTAATTACCACTCCTGTATTAGCTTATCCTGACTTTACCAAAAGATTTATTCTCACTACTGATGCTTCTTATTATGGTTTTGAAGCTACTCTAAGTCAAAAGGACCAAGAAGATAAGGAACACCCTGTCGCTTATGCAAGTAAAAGTCTCCAACCAGCAGAATTAAACTATTTTGCAACAGAACTAGAATGTGCTGCTATAGTTTAGGCTATAGAGCATTTTCATAGTTATTTAGGTGCTACCGAATTTACTTTTGTCACTGACCATTTGGCACTTAAATGATTTAAAACTGTAGAACCTAAAGGATGAATTGAATGATAGATTTTGAAATTATAACCTTATAACTTCACTATTAAACATAAACCAGGAAGAATTCACTCGAATATGGATGCTTTATCAAGACTCTGATTTAAATTTTGTATTTTTCTATTATGAATTTAGATCAATACTATAATTTATATAACTATTTACATTCGAATACTATACCTATAAACTTTACTAATTATTAATGGAAACAATTACAAAATCAGGCAAGGTATTTTAAAATTAAAAATAACTTGCTATACAAAAAAAATAGAAAAGACCCAGAAAAACCTTTACGAGTAATAAAGTGGACCGAAGTAGACCCTGTACTTTATATGATGCATAGCCACCACACCACTGGACATTTAGAAATCGATGCTATATATCATAAGATTTCAAAACGCTACTATTGAGATCAAATGTATAGAGATATTAAAGAATATATCAAGACATGTAAACAATGCCAAAAATGAGGTAAATTATGAAGAAAGAAACCTCTCCACCCCATTAAAATTGGACAAGCTTTTGAACGAATTGGAATCGATCTAGTTGAATCGTTACCAATAACATCACGAAATAATCGCTATATCATTGTTGCAACCAACTATTTAACTTGATGGCCAGAAGCTCAAGCTGTACCAGATGCTAGTGCTGCTACACTCGCTCAGTTTATATTTACCGAACTAGTGTGTAAATATAGAACTCTGAAAATTATTCTTTTGGACCAAGGATCTAATTTTAGAAGTGAAATGATTAAAATTTTGTGTGAAAAATTTCTAATACATTACAAATTCTCATCTCCATATCACTCCAAACTAACGGAATGATTGAAAGGTTAAATAGAACATTATATGAATCTTTAGCAAAAGTCGCTACAAGCCAAGACTGGGATATATACCTATCCTCCATATTATTCGCTTACCAAATCAAGAAATATGCAATAACCGAATATACACTATTTCAACTTACTTATGGTCGACAAGCTACACTACCTGTGAAACTAATTCTACCAACTGAAAAAATAGAATCTGAAATAAACTTAGAAGATAGTATATTAACTCATGCATATAATGTAATAGACAAGTTAACAGAAGCTCAAAAACAAGCTAAGAAAAACACTGAGAAATCACAAAAGAAGCAAAAAGAATGACATGATACTAAATTAAAACCAGAAGAATTTGAAGTTGGAGAAAAGGTATGGGTACAATGAAAAGACATAGAAGCTTCGAGATCAGTAAAATTCGAAGACAAACAGAAAGGACTTTATACTATTTATGTGAAACTCGGAAATGGAGCTTACAAATTACGAAATAAAAAAGGCCAGATTTTGAAATGATACTTTAATAGTGATAGACTGGAAAAATATCATGAACAAAAAAGTTGGAAACCACAAGTCATAATCGAAACAACAATAGACAAAGATTTATAATATTTATTCATTTACTTTATTATTAAATTTTATTACTTTATTAATTATTAGTTAGTACATTTAAAATATTTTATTAGATTAGAATTTTAAACCGAAAAATTTATTAAAAAAGTAAAAATAAAAATAAAACAAAGAAGAAACAAAAATAGAAATGAAGACCATTTAACCCAACAAAAACCCTGACTACTCTCCAAAATACTCTACAATGCCAAAATCTCCGCCTCTAACTTATCAATCTCTATCTTCAAATCCCACACCCAAACTATCAACCAATTTCAATCCACCCGCAACCTCTCCACCCAAACGTCGTTAAGGAAATTCTGCCACACCAGCTTAGTTGTATCGTACTCTTGAAGCCGTGCCTGAAGGTTTGTAACTTGGTTTCATAATATTCAGACTATTTCAAATACTGACTGGCTTCGTGGTGTTCTGGGCATTCTAAAAGTTGACCAAGAAGTCGTTAGAAAAATAACGCTTTTTCTACATGTGTATACTTAAA